CCATAGAAGGTGGAACGCTATTATGAATTGTGTGATTGCCTACTATTCTTCCTACTGCAGAGATACTATAGTACTTGCTAGTTTTCCAATGCAAGTGACACTCATCTCTAGACCACCTAGCAGGTTAGAGTCAAAGTATCCTATATGTTATAAAGGTGAATACCTTTTTATCAATTTCTTTCTAGTAGTTTTTTGCAGAAGCAAGTGCATGAGCAATGATCTATTTAAGCTATTTATGTCAAGGCTATTAGACTGTCTAGAAGAGTTTGCATTTGGCCAGCTCTTGAGTATGTGTGCTCTTGGTTTAAAAGATCTGACTTCTTTGCCTTCAACACTTTTAGGATAACATCAACATAGACGAAGCAGCTCGATTCTTGGTGGAAAACATCCTTGCGAACTACAAAACCTTTCCTAATGAAGAGAATGACATGGGGAAACCAAAACTGGACCTAGACCCATTGAAAGCGGAGAGTAAATCACAGTGCTGCTAATGTTACCAATGCTCAGTGTGAACATGATGGAATGAGCAGCAAGACTGTTCCTTAAATCACACAGCTGCTATGGTGCTGCGTTGTGACAATCCACATGGGGTGCCTGGTATTCTTGGAATAGGTGATAATTGTGGGTGTTAACATATTCTTGTTTAGCATGGAACTGAGTATGTGGTGAGTGATATTGTTCTACTTTCTTGAGTGGCTGCATCTGAGTAATTTCCTACTTGAGAACATGAGGTAGTGTTTACACTTTCCCATAAAGGAACAAAGGCAAAATTTGATATCTAGTTTCCTTCTAGTACATGGTATATTCCAAATAGGACTCACTCAGCATGCTTTTAGCTGAATAAGCACTTATACCTCTGCTATAATTTTTTTCCCCTTGTCACAAGTGATGTCCCCCTCTTACCTGACTTGTCACTTGCACTTGTCCCTATTTATTATCCTCACCATGAGGGTCTGTCTCGTTGCTAATTTTCCTGGATCAAAATCTTGAAATGGGTAGAAACAGCTGATTGTCAATAAGAGGAGACATTTTCCTTAGTGTGTTCACCATGACTGAGTAGTAGATGGCAGATTTTGCCACTAAGTAAGAACAAAATGTAGGGGGGGAAACATTAGAGATACTTTTCTGTTGTTATCTCCAATTGTTAAGGATACTATGCCATACTTTAACACATTAAAAATACAGTTGTGCAGTGGGCACAGTTGTGATAATCTCACCCATATACACATGGAGAAATAAATATCCAGAAACTTTAATGCACTAACACTGGAAACCAGCAAGAGCTGCAAAAAGTAGATAAAATTACTGTCCTATGATAACGAGTCAAAAAAGCCCCAAACTCTAACTTTTCAATTTTAGAACAGTGCTGCACTCTTCTGACTACTTAGAGCTGGTGAACTGGTTTATCAGCCTGTAACCCAGTATACTGAGATGCTTCAACTTTTTGTTGTTGTTATAATTTGCATGTGTTTCTGGCAGCAGGGGAAGATCAAAAGGGAGCAGAGACTTGCTTTTACAGTTCTGGCATATTTTCTTGAACTCTGGCTCTGGTTGTCTGAGAAGCTTTGAAGTTCCCTTTTATCTTAAGGGCTTCTTAAGTCCTGTTGCCTTGACTGCCACTGACTTCTGGAATCCTAGCTTGCTTGGCCTAATGGTATTGGTGTTTAAACATAAGCGTGAGTTGTGCCAGACTGATACTTCAATATGTATTGAGAAATTCTTGTCTGTCTTCTGAACACATTTTTAAGAGACAAATAAATATATTTGGGCATCTTATTGTCGATGTGTGCTTTTCAGAGCTCAAAGCTTTACATTTGTTAACTTATTCTATACATAAATGTTTCACTGGCATTTGAAAAATGTTTTTTTTCTTCCCTAGTGGCTGCTGTATCAAAGACCTTTATTACAGTAAAGCTCGGCATATGCTAAACCTGGATTTTAGCTGGATTAGGATCATAGGATAATTTTCATTGAAAAGAGGTTAGAGACTGTCTAATTCAGCCTCTGACTTCAGGCAAGGTCAGCTCTGAGATCAGTCCAGTGTGATGAGGACTTGAGACCAGACTGCATAATATGATAGAGACTGCACAGCCCTTGGACAGCTGTTCCAATACTTGATTTTCCTCACTGAATATTTCTCTTAATTTGATTCTCTCGTTTTGTCCATGGTGTCTCATCCTCTCCTCGTGTACTACTGAAGAACCTGTCCTCATTAGGCTTGTGCAGAGTTACTGGGCATTAAAGGTTGGCTGCAATTCATCAATAACTTGTATTTCTTCAGAAAGAAAACTGCCCCATGCCTGTTCCTTATTTACTGTCTTGGGTTGTCACTCCTTTTACCTAACCTGAAAGTAATATCCCTGTCCAATCACTGAGTGGCTTTGAACTGTAAGCTGACTTTTTAAAGCCACTTATTCCCAGGCATACTGTTTTTAAACATAACTGCACAAAGTCAGTAACTGGCAGCAGGGGCATGTGTATAGCTTGATCACTGGAGGAGATCAAAACATACAGTATCAACTGGTGACCAAAGATGTATGTATTTGAAGCAACAATAGCATGAAATTATATTTATTAGACACATGCATTATTATGCAAAGCTGCTCACTTATGGAAAAGCATGCCACTACTTCTGCCTGTTCATGTATCTAAATATACTACGCAAAGCTAGTCTAACTATGTTCAGATACTCATTTTATTAAATACCTTATTGGGGAATGGCGAATGGAAGAGTAAAGTGTTTTTTGGTGGTGGTGGGTTTGGTGTGTGTGTGGTTTTTTGTTTGTTTGTTTGCCAACCAACCAGCTTGTGCTTTCAGTTATCAAATGTTAAAGATGTCTTGAAAATAGCAGGTCTTGAATGAAGACCAGTTCTGGAGCTCTTTAGACTGTACTCTAATGCATTGATGGCAAGTGCTGTCTCATGGGCTAATGTTCTGTACAGATTATAGTTTTAAGAATGTTTAAACTTCTCCTTAAGCTATTACTGCAATGTGCAAACACTTTTCCTGTTCTGTATGTGGCTTGTGTTCTTTATGCGTATGTAGAGTGGCCAGGACTGTCCAACTACAGTGGTCTATGCTACTTTTGACATAGTTGAGAGGCTGAGGCAGGGTAAGGTTCAAGAAGAGCTATATGTAAAAAAAACAAAGTAATATCAAAAGTGCCAATGAAAAGATTGTATTTAAAGCAGGCTTGTTGAGATCACCCATTAGCAAAGAAAAATGATGCAATTAAGTTTTGTAGGCTATTAGATGAAGTCCTTTTTTCCTTTTGGAAGGGATGTGGGGGGTGGGGAAAGCTTTAATTACATGGTCACTAGGTTTCTGCTTAGATCTATTTTCTTCCCTTGTGCTGCTACTGTCACTTTCTCTCCTGTTCCCTGGCAGTAGTGTTATGTGAGACAACGTAACAGTGGGTGAATCGGGGAATTGATCCAGCAGTGGGCTAACCCTAAAAGAAACTAAACAAAAAATTTGAAGCTTAGGCAGTTTAACTTCGGGCAATAAAGTGAGCAAAAAGTGCCAAACATCACTTGTTTTACACTTACAGCACAAATCATCAGCTTGCTTTATATCTCCATCATGTGAACAAGGGTCCCCTGCTGCTCCATTTCTTTAGGTCTTACAGTGTGAAATGTCAGTTTTATGGGGGCCAGGCCATTTTCCTGTCTGTGTGGGGGCTATTGAAGCTTGGTAGCATGCTACATGGGCTCCACTGGCCATCTCCATTGCTCATAATGTGTCTAAGTATCTTTGGTTATATTATTTTTACAATGCAGTAAATGCTTTAAATGCTACACTGTACTGGTGTGGCTAAGTGCCTGATCTCCCACCTGTCCTTCCTGTATTATGTGTAAACTTTAGATTACTGTAGCCTGAACAAGTGATTTTACATTAGGTTGGTAGTTCTGTGGGGAGCATGACTCAGTCATACTGAAATAGTCGTGTTGTGCACAAGGAGCTTCTAGTCTTTCCTCTCGGGATAGTACTGGCCAGTTTATATGCTAAAGCTCCTATAATTATTTGTACAGGCAAACTACTTCACCTGAAACTTATTAATTGTGCTTTGCCTCACTGGCATCTAGTGAGGCAGCATCACTGGCTTCTAGTATTCAGTGGCTTAAGGAAAAAATACTTTTTCTCCCCTTTGATTACTGTTTTTTTGAGCACAATTAGATAAGAGTTAGTCAGCTAGCTATGGTAGCAGTTAGATTATTGTCATTATTGCTGAATAAAGGCTGAAGGTGTGGAATAAGACTGCTGTAGGGAGTAACATACCTTCCTAGGAAGAAGGGGAAAGAAATAAAGGAGGCGGAGGGGAAGCTTATTATTACCAGGTATATTATCACTATACCTGTTCATGGTTTTATTCATGGCTTTGAAATATTAGTCATATTTTAAAATATTTACTTAGCAATCTTATTGCAAGCTTTACATTAGGGTTTTCACAGCAGCTGAAAGTCAAGATGTTTTTCATTCTGATATAGAAAGATTTTCCCTTTCATGAATCACCAATGGAAACTTATGAAATAAGGGCTTATGGCACTGCTCAGTTCTGAGCTACATCTGTTTTTTCTCAACTTGGTTACCCCAATATTTAAGTTGAGAGAATCAAAGCATAAGCCCCAGTATGGGAAAACACTTTGGCTTAAAGTTAAATATGGGGTTTTGAGTGGTCCTGTGAAACTGGATGGTATTGGCACATTTAAACTGAGCTTGGATACCTGCTGAGTATTTTACTGGTGGCTGACTGTCTGCCGCCAAATGACCTTTGGGTGAAGAATGGGGTGTGGGAGCAGTATTGTAACCTTTTAATCAATAGGTGCTCCAGCAGAGAGAATATAATGGTAAAACACTATCTGGAAGCAGTAATGTGAGTTGGTACCTTCCTAAGGCAACTGCAATATTAGATAACTCATGTCCCTGCTAAGATCGAATGAGATACGGTATCATGAGATTTTTTTTTTCCTTCATGTTTGAGGTTAACAGCCTTTGTTTCTACAATTCTTACACAAGCTGCTCTTTTGCTTTTTTTTTTTTTTTTCTTTTTTTTTTTTTTTTTTTTTTTCTTCATGGAAAGCTTCCCATAATCACAAAATCCCTGAGGTTGGAAGTGACCTCTAGAGATTGCTTAGTCCAACTGCCCCCTGTCACAGCAGGTTGCTCAGCCATGCCTGTCTGGGTCTGCAAGTATGGACAGTGGCGACTCCACAATCTCTGGCATCCCCCAGAGCCCAGGACCTGCACGGATGCTAAAGCACTTGGTTTTTTAAATTCACCTTGCCATTATTCATCTGCGTATCCTGATCACTGTTTGATAGCATAATCATCTGGAGGGAGACTAGCTGCTCAGTTTGACAATAAGCACACAAACCTGAAATAGCTACAGGGTCTTCAAGTGAGAAGTGTCACAAGGTACCTTATTTAAAATGGATGCTGTTGGACATAGTGCTGAAGGAAATGTGAAGATACTGAAGAATTTTCCACTTTCAAATTTGAAAATACATCTGGCCTTCTGTCATCTTGATATAAATCAAGATCTGATATTTGTCTAAAATGAGCCTTGAGATACTACAGCTGTGCATATTTTTCATTTTATCTTTTGATCTGCTCATGATGTGACTTGACAAATTTTCATTGATATTCATATTCTTGATAGACTTGGCTTGAATAAGACTGAGTGAGCAGGTCTGATTC